ATGTGACGAAGTAAGGTTGTTTAGGATTAATTAATTTATTATAATGTATGACTCTAAAATAATATGTATTGACGCGTGAACTAGGTGATCGAGTTGCTGAGGAAGTCCCCAGTAAGGGACGAAACGTTCAACAAGATCAAATAAATTTGTTCATCAAAATTTATTAACTGTCTTCAATTTTCCCTTTGAAGCTATATATAGTCTTTTTTTTTTTAATTAATAATTATTTATATCGACGAAAGAGAGTATATACAAAAATTTGTATTACGTAGAGTAACGATTTAATATAATTTAACAATACGGAAAAAAAATAATAAAAAAGAAAATTGAAAACTATAATTTGTCGATATAAAATCACAATGCAAGGAAGAGTATATGTGTATGTATGCATGTATGTATGTATGTATGTATACGCGAGTGTGTGTATAAAATCGTTCTGGTATTTCTATTAAAATAATCTACTCTATATACAGCAATATAACGTTTCTCTTTCAATTCGAAATTATTTCGTATGCATTCTCGTTATCGAATGGAATGAAATAATCGATTATATACGAGCACACGGTTATACCAATACCAATACCAATACCAATACGAATTTAAAAAAATGTAAAAAAAAATAACAACACAATATTTATTATCAAATAATTTCTACGTGTTTCGCTTTTCAATTTTCCAAGTAAGAGATACATATATATATATACATATATATATACATATATATATAAATTTGCGTGTATATTTTCTCTTCCAATCGAATTTCCGTGCAATCGCGATAAGGATGAACGTAACTTTTGCCATTCGCAAATCGGTTATATTTTATCAAGCACAACGTTATGATTTCTTTCTTCTTTTTCATCTTTTTTTTTTTTCTTTCTTCCCTTTTTTATTTTTATCTTTTTATTTCTTCTACAATCTACCCCACCCCATTCCCTCATTTTTCAATACTCACGTATGCAATTTTCTTCTAGTTTGTTTTATTTATTTATTATTTTTTTTTTCAATATTAAAAAAATATTTTCAAACATTTCTCGTGCGTACGTAATATTAGATTCGAGTTTATTATATATATTTTATTATATACATACACGAATAAAAAAAAAAGAACAAGTGACCAGCCAGAAGATTGAAGGAAAATCAAATCGTTGTTGTCGCAGCAAAGACAAAATAAAAAGAAGGGAACCTCTGCGAAACCCTTGAAAAAGGATTCGACGGAGGAAAGCAAAAAAACCCTCTTCCACCCTTCGTGAAAATGTTTCCGTTTATGATGAATGGTGATGAACGATGAATGATTCTTTTTTATTTTTTTATTTTTTTTTTTATCAGCAACCTGCTTTCCTGTTTCCCCCTTACCCATCCCATAATTTCTTTTGATTTTTTTTTTATTACCATTAATGTTTAATTGGTTGTAAAGATTTTTACGTTTAATAGGGGTGGCGGGTGGGGGGTTAATATTTGAAAAAAACAGATACAAGAATAAATATATATTTTTTTATATATTGTGTAATTTATTGTTTTTTTTTTAATAGAAAAAAATAATGATGCATACTTACATACGACAGTTAAATTGGCAGTTTTGACAAATGAGGCAAATGATGGACCCTCCGTTGACACTTCGCATTTGTATTGACCGGATGTTGCCAACCTAACGTTGACCAATCTTATCGATTTTTCGCTGTTTGATTTCTGCGAACATAAAGAAAACGAAAACGTTTGTTTTGGTAATGGAAGACTTACGTATTTCATGACGTGACGTGACGTGACGTGACGTGACGACGTTCGATCTCGAAATTAGTTTTTTTCTTAGCTTTGTTTTTTATTTTTTTCTAAATATGAAAATCGAATATGCACGATGACGTTTATATTATGATAGTATTTGATCATTTTCTATATCTTTGTTTTTTTCTCATATTAATATAATCAAGTTTTTTTTATATTTCGTTTATGCATTATGTTTGAACAATTAATTCATTATTTTTCGTAAATAATATTATTTTTCACACACACACACACAATATTAAAGATTAATGATTTCATTGAAATATTGATTGCCCATGTTTTTGTTTTTTTTTTTTTTTGACGTAAGTACCTATGATAAATTGTTATTACAATGTTCTATGATGGTGTATCACTTTTAATTAATTTCCATAGAAATATGAGATTAAAAATAAATTGTAATTTTTAAAAAAGGGTGATAAGAGGGGGGGCAGGGGATAATAAACATAATGTCCATTATTGCATTTAGAAAATTCGATATTGTCTGATATCGTTATATATTATAGATAATATGCTCTTCGTTTTAATATAAATCATATTTTATTGTCATAATATAAAACCCCTGTTATATTATATCGTCAATTACGTATGAAGTAGATCAATTTTCGCGTGCGGCTGGAAATCAAATTTTCCCATCTCCTCTAATGAGTTTTAAATTTTATAATATATGTTAAAAATACAAATCAATATAATATTATTACGAAATATATTCAATATCTGCATAATATAAAAACAACAAACCCAACGACAACAACGAGTATCGATCTTATCAATTAGATTTGAAAAAAAAAAAAGAATTTCTTTAATCAGTTAACTGTGTCGATCATTTTGCAAAGTGCGCCCCAGTGTGTCGTCAAACACAGAGTAAGTGACGCTGTTGAAATATTGGGTCAAAAAGAAAACTTTATTTTAGAAAATGAATGAATTTATAAGTAATATTTAAACAATGGATCAACGTAAACTTATATTTACACATAATTAACGAAAAACTTAAAAAAAAAATCCAATATTTAACAAACAAAATATTTTTCTTTGGTTAGACATCCAGGATATCATCGCAAATGGAAAATCCAATATACTTTGTTTTTTTTTTGGTTATGTCACGTTAAGATTAAAATCGGGATAATCAAAGATCTAATGTCCAACTTAAATTATCTATAATTTTCATTTGTTTATTTCATTTCGTCCTGACCCCTAAACATTCTATTTACGAATTAATAATATAATTTAGTTTTCGCCAGAATTACAATTTAAATATCAAATTGTATGAAAATTTTACGCATGACGGATATGGCCGTAAAAACACAAAATTCTATCATTCTTCCATGACGGATATAGTCGTCAAACACACTTAACTGGTTAATATACCCTCAATATGAAAAAATAAGGGTGGGGGTAGAATTTAAACTTTGTCCGAAGTATAATAACTTGATCATTTCAATTTATTCCATATTACACGAATAATTTGTTAGAAGGGGGTGGGGTGGGGTGGGGTGGAAATAGGCAATAGCTGAGTCCGATAAGCAGGTGCGATCCTTGTATACTCCAATCTCTTGCTTTCACCA